GTTTTTTATATACTTTACACAACTGATTACACTTTAGTTGCATGTTGAATTGTGTAGACTACTTTAAATCATGTTTTGCTAAGTGTTTGTTGGGCATATTATTGCTATTCTATTCATTCATTTGGAGCCTGATAACCACTTTCCTATTTTCCCAATTCCTACGTGGGCTTATTTGAATCCAAGTGGCAAAGGTAATTTACTAATTTCACAAGTTCATAGTGGGATTGGATCAGTCGTGGGTAGGCACAGGATATCAATGTAAATTAGACTTATAAATTTGAAATAATAATGTAGATATTTATATAGTTTAATTAACACTTCAAATATTGAGTAAAAGCAATTCTATTTGATCAAATAGAGTGACTGAGTTTAATTTCAAGATTCATAAAATCATATAGTTGAATTACTATACTACATAAAAAGAACTGTCAATTTAGTTGACATAAAAAATTATGTACATATTGCTATAAACATATGAATCATATCGAAAGAACACGAGATTTATATTAAAAGTATTATTTTAAAGCACTTTGCACAGTGACAGATCTAGAAATTTTATCGAGGGGGGACCAAATAATAATAACAAAAAAAAACATCAATTGTAAAAATAAATAAATTAGACAAGCACCGACTAAATAAACATAGTACATATATCTGAGTACCCAAGTCAAGAAAATAACTTACAATAATATTGAGAGATCACAACATTTCTCTTCTATTTTTCATGTTTTGAAATCGTTGCATGATAGCCTCATAACATTCCGAAATATATATTTCTCGATGTATGCCACTAAACAATCATTCAAAAGCTCATCACCCATTCGGTTGCGTAGTGCACTTTTGATGATTTTCATTGCCGAAAAAGTTCTTTCCACTGTAGCAGTGACAACGGGTAAAATCCATAACAACTTAATCAACAAGTAAACCAACGGAAAAACATAATGTTTTCTTCTAGACACCATCTTTGGAGCAAGATCTCCAATATTGGCTACATTCGAGAAGTCTTTATCTAAGCGCATATCAAAAATTAAATTTTTGAGCTGATTTTCAAGTTCATGTAAAGCAACTGTAGAAAACTCTGATGGATATAATTCTGCAAGACGAAGCAATTTCCTTATCAAATGCAGAAAATGAGTCTCTCGGATCAAAGCATACCATTGACAAGAGTAGCTCCGTGTTCACTTCATCAAACCTAATGTTAAGCTCTTGAGCTAGCATATCAATCACGAAATAAAACAACTCAACTCGATAATGGTGACACCTTCCATATCCAATATAACTATGTCATATTTGCCACAAAACTTAGAAACTTCAGCCAATAAATCATCCCAACCATTATCACTGATGGCTTGCATACGAGCTTTAGCGACTTTAACAAGTTTCACCGCATTAACAATATCTTGATCCCTTCTTTGAAGAACTTGAGACAACTCATGTGTGACTCCCAAAATTTTCATGATAAAATGTAAAGTAAAGATGAAGTCGAACATATTCACAATCTCTAACAAATCAATGGCTTCAGCCCTTTGTGAATCATCATTTCCTCTTTCACCAATATACTCAAGAACATCAATAATAGATGAAAGTAAATGCACCAAGTTTATAAGAGTACCATAATGTGAACTCCACCGAGTGTCTCTCGGTCTCTTCAAAGTCATCTCCTGATTTAATCTTTTTCCCGTCTCAATCTTATTGCTTGCAATCCCCTCAATTACTTTCTCCTTTTGCTTTTCTCTAAGCATATCTCTACGCTTACAAGAACCTCCAACAATATTAGTTAAACGAGTAACAATATTGAAAAAAGAACCGACACTTGTATTCTTTTTTGCAACAGAAATGAGTGTGAGTTGGAGTTGGTGAGCAAAACAATGGACATAGTATGCGCTAGAATTTTTCT